AAATACACAAAGAGAAATAAAACAATCTTTAGAAGCGAAACTACAATTTCATCAGTCTGGCTGGCCAATTGCAGAAAAAACAGCTTATGTGTGTCATTAAACGACCAATGGAAAGGAGATAGCGTCTGGTCTAAAACTGAGAAAAAACAAACCTCATTTTCTGATCAGCGCCCTCACTGGCTGAGGACTCTTTAGGAGCCGGAGGGACTTCATTACAAGCTTCAAAAGCAAACTTCTTCCCGTCTTCCTTGCTATCTCTGGCTTCGGGGCTTGGGGCTTCCGTGGGCGCTTCCGCGACCTCCTCGCTAGAGGCCTCCGCGTTCTCGGAGGCCGCGCTACTCTGCTCAACTGCCGGCTCTGGCCCTACAGGCTCACAGTCCGTCCTGCCGCCATCGCCCGGCTGCTCCACGGGCTCCCTTTTCACTACCGCTAACAGGCTGTCTGCCTCGCCCGCCTGAGCGTGTGTTGACTCGCTGGCCAAATCTAAGTCACCCTCCTCCGGATGGGCGCTGTCAAAAAGGTCCTCTTCCTCCGCAAGCTTTCTGTCTGGCCCCACGCTACTTGTATCCTGTGCAAATGGCTGCTCCAGCTCGGAACCTTCTTCTTTTCCTGGCTCAGATTTACAAGTTTCCCCCAAAATGTCGAGTATTTTCTCATTTTCTACGGATTTAACAGGAATAGAATGGCACAAGGTTTAATTACCAGGGAAATAAAGCAATCACAAATGTGGAACGGGCACGGCTGCCACACTAACACGAAGAGAACTGCTAGCTACACAGAGATTGGAAAACCCGCGGGTACACAAGGTTACACTGGTTACGCTACCTGCGCTGCGACCTCTAGCAAGCCTCTAGCTACACGGGAGAGAAAGGCCCCACAGATTTAAACACCTACAACCACGTGGCTGCTTCTCAACAGTCTTCTTCAAGTTTTTGTTCAAGTCTGGGTCTTCTGACTGATTTTCCAATGTCCAAGGTGCTGAACCGAATGCAATCACCATTCAATGACAGCTCAATTTCCAAATTTCTTTGAATTTCTTTTAACAGACCAGTCCAATATGAACACCAGAAACTCTTCCAGCGGTGGGAGATAAACGCAGTCCAGAAGGGGAATAATATGTCGAAAATTTTCATGAAGAAACTGTTTCCTCTTCTGGAATCCAGTCACTTCTCAGGTTATAAGTGCCCTGACAACAGCTTTATCCTGCCTTAACTGCGTTAATTAAAATGACTGCAGCCAAAATATCACAAGATCTGTTTCATGTGTAGAAACACATGGAAGAATCTTGGGGAGGGGGACGTTAAATGCCACTCTACGTGGTTAGAGACGAAAATAATCACTACATTTCACCCAAGAGCTTTGCCCTCGAGAAGCCAGAACAGCCCTTCCACAGATCTGGTGATACGAGTGGGTTTCCAATCTCTGATCCTTGTACGATCTGGATTGTCCACCATTAGAGTAATTGACAAGACCACAACATAGCTTAAGATATAGACAGCTTTAAAATACCAGCAGTGCGAGAACTTTCAAACCATAAATGTTGCGTTTCTCTTATCAGTACCTGGCTCCAACAGAGGTTCTTCAATATCCTGTTTAAAAAAGCAAAAGCAAATCCACACGTTATTTTAAAAACTGGGCAGAGACACTTCCCTCGCAAATACAGCTCTCAATCATGTGTGAATTTCCAGAAAACTTTGTCCCCCCCCAAGAATGTATTGCCTTCCTAAAATAGCTTGACGAGGATGAGCTCATCTTCCCTGCTTCTCTGGTCCCAGCAAATTGCTAGTGGCCATATTTCGCCTCCCAGTTCTGCCCCCAGGGTCTGGCCCACGGACCCCATCCCACCCACCCCATGACCGAACTGATCTAGTGGCAACCGCAGCTGGCAGAGACGGCCACAGGCAGAGCGCAGGCCACGCAGACACCACCCTTTGTACGTCACCCCAGGTTTCAGAAACACAATTTCTCCCAACAGAAGCTGCTGCGTCTCACTGGAATCTGCGATCTGCCTGCCTCTGGTCTCCCCAGCCTGTGAGCTTCACCTGGACCTTGTGCCTTGGGGCCACTGCCTATATCTTCTCCTCCCATTTCTTCCTCCCCACTTCCTCATGCAAACTCTGGACCTAGACATCAGTCCTCGATTCAAGTGTGCCCTCCTCTGCAGTGTCCTGGCTCCTTTGTGGCCTAACCCCAAGCTGCTCCCTCAACATCCTTCTTCTCCCTTCTAGCTACACACTTGAAGATTTTACATCATCTGCCATTAGATCCCAAGCTCTGAGACTGTGTCTATCTTGCTGACCTCTTACTGCCAACAAATAGCTCAGTATCAATGCCCAATCAATCACTTTTACACGTATACACAATGTTAACTATGGAAGAGTTAACCACTCATTTCAGGTTTCCAGAGACACAGAACCAGATGGTTACCTACCGGAGTTACTTTGAAGCCCAATGATGAAGTTTCCAAAGCATTCTCAAATCCTTCTCCATCCACCTGAAAAACAAATGGAACATTATTTTGTGGAGTCGAGCTGTAACTGCCAAGGCCTATTCCCCAGTACTTTCTAGGCAGCCTGTGTGTCTGTTTTTGTCACAGTACCCTCCACCACCTGCCAGTCTACTGCTGCATGATTCACTCAGCACCTTCTTCCCAGCCAGGATGCAGCTCCAGGACCCTGCTACCCCAGTGTCTGTGACAGGGGCTTGCAGACAGGTAGGTGTTATCTGTACTGGCTGAAGAAATTAAGGAAGGAAAGAATGCATATCCCAGGCAGTTTTTGAGTACTAATATGTAACCCACACTGCCTAAGCACAGGATTTCCAAAGCAGAACTCAGAATGATCGACCCTGCACTCCCCTGATTTCACTTGGTAGAACACCCTTAAAGTACCAATAACCGGGCACTTTCTTCCAGGCTACTTTATTTTAAAACAAACATTTAACTTGATTATTTTCTCATTTTACTTTAAACAAAAGAAAAACTGTTAAAGTTTATAAAATGTGAAGGCCTTTACCTTTTTAAGTGAAATAAGAAAAATCTCTCCCAAATATTTTTTTTTGTTTTTTGAATTGGAGTCTGTAACCCAGGCTGCAGTGCAGTGGCACGCTTACAGTCACTGCAGTCTTGACCTGCTGGGCTCAGGCGATCCTTCTACCTCAGTCTTCCAACTAGCTGGAACTATAGGCATGCACCAACCACGCCCAGCTAATTTTTTTATTTATTATAGAGATGAGGTCTTACCATGTTGCTCAGGCTAGTCTCGAATCCTGAGCTCAGGTTACCCTCTCATCTCCACCTTCCAAAGTCCTGGGATTATAGGCATGAACCACCGCACCCAGCCCCTTCCTTCCTTTTCTAAATTTGAACCCATGACCTGGATGCTGCCATTAACTAAGAAGATGGAAAATAAATACCCACTCTGAAAACAACTAGCACTTACACAACACTATCATGTTGAGAGAGGAGGACAGGTGAGTTGCTCAATGCTACCCTAGGCCAAAGGGTGGGAAACTTGGGGTTTGTGACTTTTGACCTTAAGATGTAAGGTTCAGGCCTCCAAGGGCATCTTCCCCCAAAGCTGAAAGCTGTAAAGGCCTTAAGTAAACAAAACAGCCAACTACAATGGGTGGGTACATGCAGTCAAACAATTAACTTTAAGACAGTGACCGCCTGTGGTGTTTGAACAGCCTCGCCAGACAGCTCTGCCAAAACGCTAGCGTGAAGCTAGGCCATCCATGCTGTTAACAGAGCTCACACTCTATTTCATACAAAGGGTGTTCACAGGGTACCCTCTGGGCTGAGGGAGTCTTCAGTGGCAACAAATACATGTCTTCCCTGTACTTTACAACTTTTATTTACTTATTTATTTTTGAGTCGGAGTCTTACTTTGTTGTCTAGGCTGGAGTTCAGTGGCATGCTCATGGCCACTGCAGCCCTGACATGCTGGGCTCACGTGATCCTCCAGCCTCAGTCTCCCAAGTAGCTGGAACCACAGGGGCGCACCATCACAGCCAGCTAATTTTTTTTGATTTATTGTAGAGAAGAGATTTTGCCAAGTTGCCCAGGCTGGTCTTCTTGCCTTGGCCTCCCCAAGTGCTGGGATTTCAGGCATGACCCATCCCATCATACCCAGCTCGTACTTTACATCTTTTAATGTAACTAACTTGTTTTCTAAAAAATTAACAGAATTATCAGCATGATGAGATTACAATCCATTTTTGTATCCTTTTTTTTTTTTGAGTTGGAGTCTCACTCTGTCGTCCAGACTAGGAGTGCAGTGGCACGCTCCCAGCCACCGCAGCCTCGACCTGCTGGGCTCCC